CAAGACTATCATCATGAATAAATAAACCCCAAAATTTTGCTAATGAAGCTGGTTGTGTCTGTTCTCAACCAAGGCTTGACTAACATGATAACCAAATAATACTGAACGTTTTGAGAGGTTCAAACTTGATAATTGAAACTGTAATTCCCGAAGGCTGGTGATGACTAGGCCTTGGATATGAATCGTAGGTAAGTTTCCTAGTGAAATTTTGATATCGGTACCTTTGACGGTTGTGTTCGTTCTCAACCGATGTAGCTATAGTAAGATGAATGGATAATGTTGAGCTTGGATTTGAATTTGAGTTCGTCTTAGCTGGTAGTCATGCCTCGAGATTTTTCCGCTATTTTTCTTGGGCATATATGATTGAATGTAATGCATGTTTAATATGGTTATGCTTGATGTATGTAGGATGTATGGTATGTATGCTTGATATGATAATGTTATGAATTGAAATGATGCAATGATTGATAAATGCAATGCCCCTGTTATTTGAACTGTGGAACCAATGCTTAAGGCAGGCTATCATCCAAGAACTATTTTTTTCTAAGAAGACATGCCAATTAGGGGCTGGGCTTTTGAAAAAGATGTGCCAGACGGGAACTGGGCTTTGCACCAACGTTAGTAAGACTACTGGAATATTATCAACTAGGTGGCTTGGAAAGGTGAAACAAATAACAAGGTTGCTAACATTGGTAAGGTTACCTAGAGACATTAATCTGGTGATTTGGAAAGTGTGAGGCTGCTCACAACTTTTACATAAGGCTACTTACGTATGGATAAAGAAATGAGGTTTTGTGAGGCTGCTCACGCCTTAGTTTGACAAAGAATGCTTGTATCAAAGACTCACTGAGAGGGATAGTCGAAGATATGTTTGAGATTGTAATAGTGATTCCCCTAGAAATTGACTCTAGATTTTTTTCGGGAGGTCCTAAGTCTTAGTTTATGATATGTCATATATGCATGCAGATGCAGGCGTTAATGTGTATAATGACTGAACAATGCAAGTAATGGATGACGTGGATATGCATCAATGGATGTTGAAATTTTGGTGTGCCAATGAGAATTGGGCTCTTTGTTAGATCCATGTTGTTGGAAGTTGTCAGTCAGATGAGACGATAAGCATAGCTTGATTCTGGATTGAAGTAACCTAATAAATGCATGACAATGATGTACGCCAACTCGTATGCTTTTGATTGATGCCCCTATGATGGGTCGTGCATGATTAAAGCGTAGAGGTTTTCCTATACAACAATGTTGCTTGTCACATGATGGTTGAATGTTATGCTATCATGATTTCGATACTCGATTTGAACTTTGAAGATTGCTGATGTAGGAGAAAGATCCACTGGAGATTATGAAAGTACGCAGAGAGCTTGTCCCTATGTGGACTGTCTTTCCCTTATTAGTTGGTATGGTCTTGGAGGAGATTCTCATCGATATGATCTTGGAAATAGTTTGATCATAATACGAATGACCCCGCTATTTTTGCACTATGCCCTTGATTAATAAACTCTTGAAAATGTTTGTCTTTGATAAACCATTTTAAACAACTCCTTTTGATCGAGCCTCGAAGTGGTTTTCCCCAACATTTGAATTTTGAAAGATGTGCCCCTTAATCTTCAGGATCTGGGGGAAGTACCCTCAGAAAGAACTTAGATCTCACCATGAACTTGACATAGATTTTCCTAAGTATTCGAAGCTTGAAAAGTTTGTACTTGAAGCTTCTTGAAGGGGAATTTGGACCCTATGTGTAGTAGGATGAACTTGGTATGTACTGCCCCAACATTTAATCTTGGAAGGTTTCCCATGATTATCAAGGCCTTGAAAGGTTTTTTAAAACAAGGAAACTGAGTCATACCCTGTTGTGATATGACTTGATTAAGGAATTCTCCTTCAAAAGGTATGCCCCTAATTGAACAGTGCTTTGAAATTTGATCCAACTTGATTTAATCTCGAGAAGATCACCCCCTATCAATAGTATCTTCATGTGATATACCCCTATGATTATTAGTCTTGCCTATGATTATAGGGTTCTTCCTTAGATGCCTTTCCCTCTGAAATGGACCGCTTTTGATTAGACCAATTTTTTTTGAGATCTCCTTAATGCTAAGTAATGATTCGTAGATAAAATTGTACATTTTGAAAAAGTAATTCCGTTTGATGCACATGCAAGTTCTGAAATCTAAGTTTGAATAGAAATGGAAGATTAGAGATGGAGATTCGAAGAAGGGGTGAGTAATAATTTTAACAAAAATATGAGTCAGTTTAACATAAATGTTGCTAAGTATGCCTTCATAGTGAACCTATCTTCAATTAGGACTTTTGAAGGTTGTAACGTGGCTATGGTTCATGATTTAAGAAACAAAAGATATAAGGTTAAAAAAAAATTTATCCCACCCCATGCTCCTTGATATTCTCTAGTCCTAATTCCAATTAATGCAATAGATGCATTTAATCTCCAAGAGAAATTTTATAGTCGTACAGATGATGAGAAACGTAGATAAATATCCAAGCACTGATGAAAATTATTGATAAGATCCCTTGATGGTTTTTGAGGTGGCAGTCACAAGATTGTTCTCCAATTTTGTTTTCAATCTCTTATTTTTGCATGGACCGACTCTTTTGAATTTTTCGGCCCATCAGGATGCCCTACCTTTTGCCTAAGTCAAGTTTTTTTTAATATTTTTACTTGACTTAGTGGGCTTTATTATTTTTTTTCTTTAGAGTTTCCATTTTCTTTTCAATTTTAACACTTGTGACTGTCATGCTGATTGTTTTAAGCTTCGTCTTCATCGTTTCCGCGATCTTGATTTATGTACTGAAGAAGAAGATGTGGTGGACTTTGTCTTTGTTGATTCCTTAATATTGGATGATGAATGCGAGGAAAATGGTGCGCTTTGAACCTTTGCTTAGATCATTTCCTTAATGATGTATCAAGGAAAGATATATGCTTGAACCTTTTGTTTTGATAAATCACTTCTCTTGAGAATAAAATGCAGAATTTAATTAATAGAAAGACTACCCTTCCCCTGGTTAAGTTTAAGATTTTCTTTTTTGAAAAATAGAACAAAATTCCAACTCCTGGCTCGAGGGGGTTGACTATTAATTAACTCCTTATTTCTACACTGTTTAGGAATTGAAACAATGCCTTACATCATCAGCTCGGTCTTACCATTGAAAGCATATTTTAACAAAATTCAGTTATTTAATTTACATCATTCTCCCTCAAAGATTGTTAAAGAAAATTTGAAAATGGAAACGAAAAGTGGAAATGGAAAGTCGTTGATTATTTGTGAAAAGTAATGAAAGGCGAAGAGTCAAACGAATGTGTTGTACCACAAAATTTGCCCTCTCATATTCCTCAAGACATTTGCAAGAAAAATCTCCAAGTTGCTCAAGGTTGCTCAAAAGTTGGTCAGACAAGCTATCTCCTAAGGCTGTCAACCCCAAATTAGGGTTTTGGGTTGCATCAAGATCCTTAAGTCCAAATGACCTCAAGTTCTCTCCAATGTCCTAATATGTTATCAATATCATCCATGTCAAATCTTAAGCCTTGCAGAGGAAGTCTGCTCAGTCAATTGCTCAAAACTCCAAAAATCGATTGTGCTAGGGGAAAAGTCAACTGTGATCTACAAACAGTCAAACTTCAAGATTTTTTGTCAACATTCTCATTTTCAAGGACATTTCATCATTTGATCAAGGGTTGACCATGATTCATCAAGGATTGCTCAAAATTCATCAAGACTCAAAAGTTGCTAAATTAGGGTTTTGCAGAAAAAGTCAACTCAACTTTGACCAAGCATAACGTTTTCATACTTTATAAGAAATGACACATCCAAAGCTCATTTTGAAGAGGATGCAATTTCCTACAATCCTTATTCATACCCCAAGATCAAAAAATGCACTCACAAGAAGTTATGAATTTGGACATTATAGGTCATTTTTGAAAGTCACCAAAAACACCTTTTTTGTCAAAGCTTATAGCCTAATCATGGAACATAAAAATTAGATGATACCAAAAGGGTTGGTTAGAGGATATCTCAAGCTTTCTAAAAAGTCCAAGAACACTTCCAAAAGTTCAAAATTGAAGAAGTTATGCATTGTTGAAGTTGGACTTTTTTCCAAAATTGACAAAAGTCAACTATCCCCAAAACATCAAATTTTGTCAAATGGGCCCATTATTTTTCACTTGTTTTGAGTTTGCATTATAGCCCACGTGCCCTAGCTTCAGCCATGTGTCCATATCTTATTTTTATTATTTAATTTGATTTTTATTTGAATTTATTCATTTTAAATCAAATAAAATCATATAAAATCAAAAATATTGATAATCAAAGATTTTTTTGTTGATTATAGGCTTCAATGGACAGCTAGCACATCTCCAAACTCGTATCAAGGCATAAGGGTACAAGAAGATATGATTTGAATCAAATTTGGAAGGTTTTAATGGTGGAATCAAATCCAATTCATGTGCATTGATATGGAGAGATTTGGACCATGTTTCTCACCCTAATGCGGTACACATTACATAAGGAAGCAAAACACACGAAAATAGGGGTTGACAAGTGTTGGAAGAGGCAGAACAAAAGTGAAAAAATTTACAAAAAAGTGAGAGATCAAAATCCAGGTTAGAGGCAGTTTCAGGACGCGAGACTTGTTCCAATCGCTTCTTGGGCATTCACACAAGCTATTCCAATCAAAACCAATATAATACAGACTATGTAATTTTGATAGCACTTTGTACCAGAACGCTATTATTAAACTTCTTTAAGATAGCATTTTGTATAAAACGCTATTATTTGACTACCTATATAATAGCATTTATTAAAAAGCGCTATGTTATATATAATAATGAATTAATTAATTAATTGATAAAAAAAAAACAAAACACATTTTCAGAAACTCTATCCCCAAAAATCCTCCACCTTCCACATCTTCAAACTCTATCCCCAAAATCCTCCACATCTGAACCCTCGCGAAACTCTGTTCCGTTCTCATCAATGGCTTCTGCTCCCTCTCATCGCACCGAGCTCGCCAAGCTCTGTAGCTCCAAGGACTGGTCCAAGGCAATTCGAATCCTCGATTCACTCGTTTCTCAGTCTGCTGCTGTTCAAGACATCTGGTGCAATTTTCAATTCTCTCCGATTCAATTTGCAATCGATGTTTGTTAATTAGTCTCATGTATGCTGATTTTTGTTCAATTTTGTTATTGTGCTTGTTTTCAGTAACCGAGCCTTCTGTTATAGCCAATTGGAACTGCATAAGCATGTGATTAAGGATTGCGATAGAGCGATTCAGCTTAACTCCTTGCATCTTCAAGCTTACATTCTGAAAGGTTTCTTCTCAGTTGTTAATTGATTTCATTCAGCTTTATCTACTTAATCAAATTGTTTGTACAGAAATATCTGCTGTGTAGTTACTAGTTAGTATCATGATAAGTGTTATTGAGTTCTAGTATGAATAATTGATGGATTACTTATAACTGAATTTGACTTTGGATTTTTGCTTAAGATTTTTAATTTGTTTATTGATGCTCTCCTTCGTTGCAACTTTTCTTTTACTTGCAAAGAATGCATCTCTAGGGATCAACTTCATGATTATATCATTGAAAGGTGCATGACCAGTAAGCACAATGTCTTTAGGTTGCTGAATGGAAGAACATGTTGCAGCTAGATGCTTTATTCCCAATACAATCCTTTCAACATGCTCCCTACAAGTTCCATGAGTTAGTACATAAGTGATAAATTTATTCCCAACTAGTTCGCAGACGATTCCAAAATCCCTTAATAAGATTCTATCTGCTTCATAACCCGATAAACCAAGCTCCCAAAAACCTACGGTAAGCCGCAATGGATCCATAGCCAGAAAATTTGGAAAGCTTGAATGCTCAAGCACTGATATTCCAGGGATTCGTTTTAGCAAGCTCTTTGCTTCATTTGCTAATTCAACAGCTTGGTTGAATATAACATCAGGGCTTTCACTAAGTTGAGCTCTAGCAGCATCTAGGGATGCCAAAAGTAGGAAACTAGGACTTGTAGGTTGGAGAGTTTGGAGACACCTAGATATTTTGTCCTTATCTACGATGTCGCCGGACACGTGCAGCATAGATGACTGACTAAGAGAGGAAAGAACCTTGTGAGTAGATTGTACAGCTAGATCAGCACCTTGCTGGAGGGCTGACCTAGGCAGTTCAGAATTAAATCCAAGATGTGCACCATGAGCTTCATCAACAATTAAAGGAATTTTCCGAGAATGACACAACTTAGATATTTCTCTCATGTTACTGCAAATACCATGATAAGTAGGTGAAGTGATGAAAACAGCTCCTAGTTTTTTTCCTTCCAGTTCTAGTTCCTTGATAGCATTCAATACCTGTAATGGAGTGATGCCATCAGGGAGATCCCAATCATTTTTATAGTCAGGAACAATGTACTTTGCCACTGCACCACATAATACCATGCTAGATATAGCTGACAAATGACAGTTTCTGGGAAGAATGAGATAATCTCCAGGTGAACAGGTTGCCATAATTGCTGCCTGGATCCCACAAGTAGTACCTCCAACAAGAAACCATGTCTGTGATGATCCAAATAATTTGGTTGCTTCTTTTTGTGCTTCTAATATTGGTCCTTGGGGATTAAAGAGGGTATTAAGTGCTGGAATGCAGCCCATATCATGGGCATATGGTTTGATTCCAATGAGTTGAGTAAACGAAGAAGGAGCAGCATGGCCTCTGTTATGTCCAGGAAAGTGAAAAGAAGCTGCATTTTGTTCAACTATGGCTTTTAATGCACTCACTAGAGGAGGTAGCCCACTCTCCTCAAGCTCTGGTGTATTGTTGAACATATTGTCTTCCTATAAAATAATTACTTTTTCAAAATAATTGCAAAATTTTGAGGTCCTTTGGTTTTGGTCTGTATTTTTGAAACATACTCCCTCCGTAACGAGTTATAAGCAAATTTGACATTTTTGGTTCATTTGACAATTAATGTATATAGTCCATATATAGACTACATACATTAGTTGTCAAATGTACAAAAAAAAGTCAAATTTGCTTATAATTCGTTACGGAGAGAGTAATTTATTAAGAAAACCAAAACATAATAATTTGAAGTATAACTTGTTCTTGGAAAAAGTTTCACAGGAAGATGTATAAACAAATTTTATTGGTTATTGGTTATAGAGAAAATGGGAGGGATAACAAATTACATGCAATTTTCATTCGATTTCACCGGAATAAGTATTTTTTTGAAACAAGATGAAAGTTATTTTTTTCTTATAATTTTGGACACGAAAAATTAGTTTTTTTCCTTGTAAATTAGGATGGAGGGAGTACTAAATAAGATAGAGATAAACATACGGTTTTACTTACGGTCTCTCTGTATTTTGATGTTCAAATAACAAAAACTCATTGAAATAGACAGTGGCTTTTGAACTTATACTGTTTTTCGTTCTGTCATCTAGGTCATGCGCTTTTTGCTTTGGGAAGGAAAGCAGATGCTTTAATGGTATGGGAGCAAGGCTTTGAACTTGCTCAGCATCAATCTGCAGATTTGAAGAAGTTGTTAGAACTTGAAGAGCTTTTGGTGAAAGAAAAACAAGGTAACAATGCATCGTATGAAACCAATGGACTGCCCATGGTGCAAGCCAAATGAAATTCTTCATGTAATAAGAACTTGACTGAAACTTGTGAAAGCCATGCTAAACTATGTGGCAATACAAGTGATAAATCTGAGATCTTTCTAAAGTCCACTGATAAATTTGATGCAAAGAATGAACTAAATAGTGAAGGTAGAGAGTCTAATAAATGTGATGGCCAAGTGAATGGAAGCCCTGATGTTATTGATAATTTGCGCTATAACTCTGAGTCGTGTAATGATTCAAGTGATAATTCATAATCATGTGATAAAGTATTTACTAATAGCGGTGAATCAAGTGACTCAAACGATGCTCCTGAAATTCTTAAAAAGCCCAGTTTTAAGTTTACTTTCCCCAGTGAAAAAAGTAGCGAAGCAAGGAAAAATAAAAAGTTCTCTGTTGCTCGGATTTCAAAGACAAAGTCTATAAGTGTAGATTTTCGGCTTTCACGGGGAATAGCAGAGGTTTGTTTCCGCAACTGCTGATTTGTAGTATTTATCTGTTTAATTGCGTAATTGATATTGTGATTATTTGTAGGTTAACGAAGGGAAATATGCTCATGCTATATCCATTTTTGACCAGGTACAGTGTTGTCTTCCACAAAAAGGAGCAATGGGAGAGATTCATCAAATGATTTTGAAAAAGATACGAATTATGCGTTTGATCGAGTTGAAGAATTTGTCAATGTAATTGAGGAAGATCTTCGTGATTGTCCTCAAATGTTTGAGCGGATAGTAAGTGATGCAGAGACTCCGTTGTATGATGGATGTACTAAATTCACAAGACTGTCAACGGTCTTAAAGTTGTATAACTTAAAAGCACGCCATGGATGGTCCGATAGGAGCTTCACAGACTTGTTGTCTAAAAGATAGTAAGGGTGGTTTTGTTAAACATCGTCCGGCCAAATATTCTTTTTGTATAAAACAAGATGATTGGGATAAATTTGTAGCCCAACATATGACTGCAAAGTTTCAGGTAATACTTTTATCACTTGGATATGGATCCTTAAATGTTTGATTATTCTTTATATGTTGAATTAGTTTTTATTGTACAATACATAATCAATATTCCTTCTATGATACAGGAAAACAAGAAGCAATTATTTTGCCTAATTAGTGATTGTATCTATGAGTTCAACGCTTTTGGATCATGAAGGTGGTTACTACATGGGATTGTTTTGTTATCCTTTCTTATTTTTTTGGTGTTTTGTTTAGAGAATTTGATTGTATGTTTTTGGATTTGGATTGAAGTACTCATAGATGGGCATCTACAAATTTGGCTATGCAAACGCCCTCTTAATATTCTATATGTTATGATATTTGGAAACAATAGGATTTGGTAATTTAAAATGTTATTTGGTATTTGATGGATCATTATTTATATGCAATGAGCAACTTAAAGCGTTATTTGTGTTGAATTGAATATAGTTATTTTATATTTACACCAAAAAAAATGATTGTGTAAGAAAAAATATTGTACTGTACTTATTAAAAATATTGTACCAAATATGTACCATTTATTAGCACTTTATTTGAAAGCGCTATCAAACATATGTTATATATTAGCGCTTTTTGTTTAGAGTGCTATAAAAAAACAAACAAAAAACATGCAAAATACTGACTTTGATAGCACTTTAATTAAAACGCTATTATAAATTGGTACTTTAATAGCGCTTTAAAAGCGCTATTAAATAAGAAATATTTACAATATTGGCGCGGTTAATAGCACTTTTAAGCGCTATCAAAAACAAAAAAAAGCGCTATTAAATAGCTTATTTGGCGTAGTGATATGCATGCGTCATGGTGTATGATAACATGATGTTTATGAATGCATTTTCGTCTAGGAAAATAAATCCTTGACGAATGCTGGGAAGCTGAATCCTGGGCTGATGTTGAAGAGTAGAGTTCTTCGTTTCCGCTGGGGATGATGGTTGCAGGAATAGACCGGTAGGAGAAGATGACTCTGTTGGGGAATAAACTTGTTGGAGAGATTACTCTGCGGGGAATTACTCTATGGGAAGAGATACTTCGCTGAGGTTTGGTGATAACTCTGCTGGGGATACCGTTGATATGTTTTGTTGGGAGATTTGATGAACTCCGCTGTGGGGTAGGAAGAACTTCGCCGAGGACGGTCTTTCCGTGGTAATTGGCTAAGGATAACCCAGTTATAAGCCCTGGTGGGGAATGACCTTTGAATAAAGCCGGGGAGACGCGTTCGTACTCCGCAGGGGATAAGCTTCCAGAATCTACTGGGGATAAGCTTCCAAAAATCTACTGGGGAGATTGATTCAACTTTCCTGGGGAAACTTTTTGAACTGTACCGGGGAATGGCTCCACTGGGGTGTCTGGTATTCCGCCGGGGAACAATCTTAGATCAAGACTGCCAGGGACGCTTGCTTAGGAACATCTGTATACTCCGCTGGGGAATATTGAGATTTCCTGGGGATACCCAACTTTCTTAAGGCTGACAGTAGACTAACTCTACTTTGGGGAGAGCGTTGCTGACTTGCTGGAGAATACTGTGCCTTGTAAGGGCTGACGGGAGATAAACTCTGCTCGGGGAGAGTATTGCTGAACTTTGTCTTACTCTACGGGGAGTGAAGGTATCTTGGTTGTTCTTCAGCCGAACCTACCTTGGTACCTTGGTGGACGGAGCAACTAGACCGCTTAGACAACTCATTATTACCCCTGTTTCTAATGTCACCTGTAATTGATCCTTTGTTTCGTATGCAAATATTTATGAGTTAGCAATTAATGTCAAATGCATATATCAAAAATGAACATTGGACGTTCTTCGCAAGACAAAACAGAAAAAGGAAAAATCAACTGACAATTTGTCTGGAAAAGTGAATTTGTATTGATTTTTGAATTTGCCTGTAAATAGGCGTTTATATACAAGAGGCTGACGTCCTAGTAAGAGAACACCGCCGAACAACATAGAGTTTATACAATTTTGAAAAGGAAAACAAAACAGCTATGTGAAAAATCCCACTGGGTTCCAACTCTGCTATCGCCTTTATGTCTTCAAGCGTCTCATCACTTTGCTGCTTAGTTGAAGATGAAGCTGATTGATTGATGCCGTCTGAGCCTGATAGTTGATACCGAATTCTGGATGCAAGGTGATCCAATGAGACATAGTATTACGCTAATCCCTAATTTTTGCCTGGACCGCCCTCTCGGGTTTTCAGTCCACCGGGATACCCATTCTTGCCCAAGCTGCCTTTTCAGGTTTTCGACTTGCCGGGTGTACAGATTTTTTTGTTTCATCCCTTATTTTTGCCCGAACCCTTTTGGTTCGTCGGGAAGCCCTTATTTTTGCCTAGGTGTGTCAACCTAGCGGGTCTTTTGTTCATGCGTAGTATCTTTTTAATATGTCTGCATTGGCGGGGTGAGGAAGGTCGTCACCGTCCATGGTGGTTAGAATCATAGCTCCTCATGAGAAGATATGTTTAACCACAAATGGCCCTTCGTACGTAGGGGTCCATTTGCCCCTGGGATCACTTTGAGGAAGGATGATGCGCTTGATTACCAGGTCTCCGACTTGATACTCTTGTCGTCTGACTTTCTTGTTAAAGGCCCTGATCATCCGTTTTTGGTACGTTTGACCATGACAAATAGCAGTGAGTCTCTTTTCGTCAATTAGGTTTAATTGATCAAGTCGAGTCTGGATCCAATCATCTTCGCTCAAACCTGCATCCTTCATTATTCAGAGAGAGGGTATCTGGACTTTAATAGGCAAGACTGCCTCCATGCCATAGACCAAGGAAAAAGGAGTTGCCCCTGTTGACGTCCTTGCTGAGGTACGGTACCCATGAAGAGAAAACGGTAACATCTCGTGCCAATCTTTGTAGGTCACTGTCATCTTCTGCACAATCTTCTTGATATTCTTATTTGCCGCTTCGACAACCCCATTCATCTTCGGCAGGTAGGGAGAAGAGTTGTGGTGCTGTATCTTGAATTGCTCGCAGAGCTCAGTGATCATCTTGTTATTAAGATTCGTACCATTGTCCGTAATGATCCTCTCAGGTACGCCGTATCGACAGACCAGGTTGTGCCGAATGAACCGTGCCACGACGTTCTTGGTTACCGTAGCGTAGGAAGCTGCTTCAACCCACTTTGTTAAGTAATCAATCGCTACCAGGATGAAGCGATTCCCGTTGGATGCCGTCGGTCTGATCTCGCCGATCATATCAATGCCCCAAATTGCAAAAGGCCAAGGTGCTGTCAAGATGTTCAGAGGAACTGGAGGAACGTGCACCTTATCTGCATAGATCTGGCATTTGTGACACGTCCGAGAATGTTGGTAACAGTCAGCTTCCATTGTGGACCAGTAATATCCTGCCCGAAGGATCTTCTTTGCCATGGTATGTCCACTGGAATGTGTTCCGAAGGTACCCTCATGTAGTTCTGCCATGATCTTTTCTGCTTCAGTCTTATCCACACAACGCAGTAAGGTTGAATCATGGTTTCGCTTGTAGAGAATGCCATTGCTGAGGAAGAAATTTGCAGCGAATCTTCTCAGGAACTTCTTGTCGTTGACATATGCACCCTCGGGGTATTCTTGAGCTTCCAGGTACCTCTTCACTTCATGATACCAAGGTTTTTCAGTTACCTCTTCAGCCTCAAGATCACAACAATGTGCAGGTTCATCCAATTTCCAAATAATGATCTGGGGAGCCTCGTTATCCCATTTGACTTTGAACATAGAAGACATCGTAGCTAGTGCGTCCGCCAACTGATTCTCCTCTCCTGGGAAGTGTTCAAAAGTTATCTCCTCGAAGTGGGGGATCAATGTCAATACATACTCCTTGTAGGGAATAAGGTTTGGGTGTTTCGTATCCCACTCGCCTTTGATCTGACTGATCACGAGAGAGGAATCTCTGAAGACACTCAGAAACTTGATCCTTAAGTCAATTGCAGCTTGAAGACCCATGATGCATGCCTCATACTCCGCCATGTTGTTGGTGCAGTTGAAACATAGCCGGGCAGTGAGTGGAGTATGAGTGCCTTTAGGGGAGATGATCACAGTGCCAATACCGTTACCCAAAGCGTTTGAGGCTCCGTCAAAGTGCATAGACCATCGGGATCCTTCCTCAGGTCCTTCATCCGGTCCAGGTACTTCACAATCTGTCACTACCATGATGTTCTTGTCTAGAAATTCAAAGTTCATCGACTGGTAGTCATCCACTGCTTGGTGTGCCAAATGGTCTGCCAATACACTTCCTTTGATTGCTTTCTGAGTCGTGTACTGGATGTCGTATTCTGTCAAGATCATCTGCCATCTTGCTATTCTTCCGGACAAGGCAGGCTTTCCGAATATATACTTTATTGGATCCATTTTTAAAATCAACAGGGTAGTGTGAGTCAACATATACTGTCTCAGCCGACGAGCAGCCCATACCAAAGCGCATCAAGTTTTCTCGAGCAATGAGTATCGGGTCTCACAGTCGGTAAACTTTTTGCTAAGGTAATAAATGGCGTGTTCTTTTCGGCCAAAATCGTCATGCTGCCCCAGCACACACCCCATCGAGCTGTCAAGTACTGTCAAGTATAAGATTAGAGGTCTCCCTTCAACTGGTGGCATAAGAATGGGTGGCTCTTGGAGATACTTTTTTATTATGTCGAAAGCGGCCTGACATTCATCGTTCCAACGTACTACTTGATCTTTCTTTAGTAGCTTGAAGATTGGTT